GCAACCCATTCCAGTGCCTCACCCCCCTTACAATAAAGAACTTCTTCCTTATATCCAATCTAAACTTCTCCTGTTTTAAGTTTTAACCTGTTACCCCTTGTCCTATCACTACAGTCCCTAATGAAGAGTCCCTCCCCAGCATCCTTATAGGCCCCCTTCAGATGCTGGAAAGCTGCTGTGCGTTCTCCACGCAGCCTTCTCTTCTCTAGGCTAAACAGCCCCAACTTTCTTATCCCGTCTTCCTACAGGAGGTGCTCCAGTCCCCTGATCATCCTCGTGGCCCTCCACCATGTCTTTTTCCAAAATACCTGATAGTGAAGTAGCAATACCAAGTTTGATAGCCTTTTAATGTGTTCCACACCCTCTAAAGATGATGCCTGATTTAAAGGAGTGTTTTTTTTCGTGAGTAGCCTGTGGAATATTTTCTGGATTAGTTTACAGATCTGGTCATTAACAGTATAAAACGTTTTGTAAATGTTTTTGTTGAAGCATAGATCAGAATGTCACAATATTGCCTGTACTATTTTCTCTCACTTTGCATAGTATTGCCAGCAGTCACATTCTGTTTTATGATCAGAATTTTGCATGCATAGTGGATTGGTATGCAGAATATGAGAACGTTGATCACTTATTTTTATATTGTGACTGCACAAGTGTTAGACATAGGAGTTGTTTGGTGTGAGAAGTCAGGCTATAACAAGTACAACTGTTGTGTGTGACAGATTGAGTATGCAGGAGGCTTTCGGGTTTTTGTTGGGTTTTGATTTGGTTTTATTTTTTTGAAGAGACTTCCTGACTTTGGGATTTCATGTAGTGTGATACTATGAAAGGTAAATAGCCAGCATGTCAGGGAAGGTAGGGAAGGCAAAAAGTCTCAGGCTATGTCAAGACAGATGCGCACATCTGGCCAAATAAAAATTGCTGAGCAGTAAAAAGGCTAGGCTTGGGTTAACTGACTGTGAAAGCAGGAGCAGTAGAAAAGAGGGGAAAAAAGTGCTTGTAAACGAAGAGATGGGAAAAGCTGTTATGTTCCTAGCTTATTAAAAGCATCAGGTTGCACTTGCAAGTTGCATCTCAAATTGAAATGATTTTTTTTCCTCTAGCAGTTGAACTGAAGTAGAGAAAGATTGCCCTTGAGATAAGTTGGTTGCAGTTGCACTCAGGCTTTACAGTGAACTCTTAGTACGCCAGTCTTTTTTCTAAGAAATTGAAAAATAAACAACTGTTAGCACAAATAATGAACTTCAGATGCTCCCCAGCTTCAGTTTCTTCAATATTCTGAGCTGAAATCAAGGTCATTTTGTGTTAAACTGAAGAGCCCACTGAACTCTTAATTTATCTGGCCTTGGTTGATCCTATGACAGCACTTGACTGTGAGCAAAAGTTTTTGAAAGCTTGGATGCATATAGAAACACACTGTTTCAATTTATTTTGCTTTTTTTTTGGAAGTCCAAAGGCTGGAAAATTGCCATCAGTGAGAAAGGGAAGATGCTTTTAACCTTCTCAAACCTGTTTTGTGTATGTGTTGACACCAGGCATGCATGTAGGCAGGCATTAATTGTAGTGGGAATTTTTCTGTACTGATAAGCACTTGAAGTCTGGTCCAAATACATCTCATTCTTGAAGGGTTGCATACCGCTGTAAAAGATGAAGTTTGTTTTTTCCCGTTATGGTTTGACCAAGTCTAAGATGATCCCTGCTTTTGTGTGGAATTTGTTCTCTATCATAAGCTTGGGTTAGATTGTTTGTTGGGGTTTGTTTGTGTGTTTGTTGTTAATTTGTGTTTGGCTAGGCTCCTTCAACATGTGTGGGGACCATTATTTTGGAGAAGTTATTTAAATCTGGCATTGTTTCTGGATGACAGTCAGTCAGGATTCTGACCTCCCCCCCTAGGTTGAGCGGCCTAATCTTTCTTAGTCATCTTGCTTTTGATGTGTTTGAAAAGCTTCTAGCTTTTAGTTTCAACAAGTTACTGTTTCTTGCTTTGCCTTGCCACCTTATGGCTATGTTTTAACTTGTCTGTCTGTTTTCCTTGAGAGACCATGTGGAGTTTGTTTAAAAACGGAGGTCTTTTGTTCTAATTGCCGCCTTTAATCAGCTGCTGAGTCTTACTGGATTTTTTTTTTTTTTTTTCCCCCTTTCAGGATCTTTTTTTAAGTGTCTTGTCACTTCCCCTTTTGTACCACAAATGAGCACTTTATCCTTTCAGTTTCTTCTTTTAACTTATTTTTAGCCAGTTTCCCCTTTTCTCTGTAGTTGCCTTAGGCTTCAGCTGATCACCATTAGGTTCCTGTATTTCTGTTGTGTGCTATGCCTTAAAATCTGATGAAATCTAGCGTACTGTGCCTGACTGGGCAAGATCTTTAGTTGTTACCACATTCTTTAAGCCACTGTGGATGGAAGACCTTATAGTGTGTCCTTGCTGCCCTAGGAGTTCAGCTACTTCACTGACAGTTTACAGGGAAATTTCTAAGGATGATCTAGTCCACACAGAGTACAAAAGAAGGGACTAGGAAATAATCTTAACTGGCAGGATAGATGCTTCTTGTTTCATCCACCCCTTTTCCCAAAGAAAGTTAGTAGTATACAACGCAAAATCAATGATGTCATATCGTATGATACAAAACTATATTGAATAGCCTATTACATAATAATTGACAAGACCTGCAATACTTGATCTCTAAGTCAGGTTGAACTTGGATTTAAATCCCTGCAGCATGTGGGAGTTCATCTGGATTTTTATTCTGGTTTCAGCTGTAACAGTTGTTTTTCTTCCTAGTAGCTGGTGCAGGGCTCTGTCTTGGCTTTAGCTTGAGAGCAATGCTGATAACACACCGATGTTTTAGTTGTTGCTAAGCAGCGCTTACCCTGATCAAGGACTTTTCAGTCTCTCATGCTCTGCCAGTGAGGAGGGAGACAAGAAGCCAGGAGGGAGCACAGACAGGACACCTGACCCAAACTAGCCAAAGGGGTATTCCGTACCACAGCACGTCATGCCCAGTATATAAAGTCGGGGGAGTTACCTGGAAGGCGCAGATTGCTGCTCAGGTTGGGCTGGGTATCAGTTAATGGGTGGTGAGCAATTGTATTGTATTTTCTGAGCTTTCATTTGTTCTCTTGTTGTTTCGTATTATCACCATTGTTGTTATTGTTGGTATTCTTCCTATCATCACTATATTTTACTTATTAAGCTGTTCTTTAGTTATTCAACCCATTGATTTTGCATTCTTCTGATTCTCCTTCCCATCCCTCCATTCCACCCTGGAGGGGGGCAAAGTGGAGGGGTGTGATGCTGGGTTTAAACCACAACATGTTTATGCAACATTCATTACTATGGTAACCATAAAATGGCATCACAAGAATATCTTGTCCATTCCATTAAGTTGGTTTACTGATTCACAGCTATTACTAGAACACTGTTAGAACGACTAGAATAATGAAACAGGAACAGATAAAGAAGTGAAAAATTTGAAGGAACTGACTTTAATTGCTTACAATCACCTGTATGAGGTGATCTAGTCTTCAGCAGTCTTCAGGATTTTAAGATGCCTTTCCTATGTACCCCTATCTTTTTGTTTTTTTCTGTTTGTTCCTTTCTGTTTGTTTTTTCTTCTTGCAAGGGAGAAGCTGTTCATCCAAAATCACTATGCTGTATGTCCTTGGTTTATTCATAACTAGCTTAAAGAAAAATAGCTATGACAGTGTTCAAGGCCAGGTTAGACATGACTTTGAGCAATCTGGCCTAGTGAAAGGTGTCCCTGCCCTTGGTAGGGGGGTGAAACCAGGTGATCTTTAAGGTCCCTTCCAACTCAGACCATTCTATGACTCTGCAGTTATGTGATCTAATTATTTAACGTATTTGGTACTTTGGGGCTTGCATATGTATTAGTGAGCTGTTCTTCCTGAATATTTGACTTTCTCAGCCTTAAAGAGAGAAACCCTAATCAGTAGCTTTAATGTTAAGTTCATGTTTTAATATATATTAGAATTCCTGAAATTTGACAATTAGTCAGTGGATAAAAGAGAACTGGCTTATGTTGTTAACATTGACATTCAAAGGCCTTATAATAAGATTCTGGGAAAGAGGCTACTTAACATAAATTAAGTGGTTATTGCATGAGAGGTAACTGCCATTACAGGTCAAAATGTCCATAATAAAGTGTAAAATTCAATGCAGGATTTTTGTCAAAGCCAAAATGAATATGGCATTTAGGATTTTGTATCAATCTTGCCATTACTGTATAGTAACTTCAGAGATGGAAAAAGGTGGTTGTAGTAAGGTAGAAAACCTGTAGATAAAAAGAATAAAGGTAAATCAAGAAAAGTTGTGAAGGCTTCATTAGACTGCTTGTTGGTGCTGCTATTAAGCTGGTGATGCTTAATAAAGAGCATCAAGTTAGAAGAAAAGGAAAAATGAATACTTAATTGTTTGGCATATGGAAGCTTGGGAGTTTGGTTTTTTTTCTTCTACCCTTCTTATGTCATACAGTTAAAAATAACTTGTGTTTCCTTGGAAGTTACTTGCTTTTATACTTTATGTTCTAGCCACTCTTTATAGAGAAATTTTGCCTATTGTGTAATTTCAGTATTACCTGAAGGGGATAGTTGTTCTGCTCAGGTGATTATTGATTTATTAATGTTAATGTAGTATTAATATAAATATTTATTAGTAAATATGTATTTTTTGTTCTAGGTGTGTAATTTTGAAACCCTTGTTATTCACTTCTATGAAAATATTAAGGAAACTGAAAGTCTTTGCCTGTATTTTCCCTTGTGTTCTTTTATATTTTCATGTATTTGTAAAGCAAAAATAGATGTTCTGTAATGGCTAGAGTACCATATTTCATTCTTTGTATGTGAACCTTCTTTTATGGGCTCTTCATTATGGCTCTTCAGAATAAAGAGCATAATTATTACAGGATTTCTTGCTTAAGTAAGTAATGATTCTACTCGGTTTTCTCAGCTTATCCTGCTTACTGTGTTTCTTTGGTTTGTTCAAGGGCGTTGGGAGTTTCAGTGACAGACTATACATTTGAAGACTGTCAGTTAGCTTTGGCTGAAGGACAACTTCGTCTGCCTTCGGACACGTGTCTTTTAGAATTTGCAAAACTTGTAAGAAGCCTTGGGTGAGCATATACGATATTTATATGTAAGATGCATATTTACTATATATCTATGTTTATATAGTTTTTCCCTTCATATAACAATACTGCATTATGGATATATATGGAATGTTTTTCTGTTACAATCAGGGAAACACTAATGCAAAATTAAACCGATATTGATCTCCACTTACGAGCGCCACCCCTAGATCCTCGTGAGTAGCATAGGTCATAACATTTTATTTCTACACTCTTTCAAGTGAGCAGAGTGTGTCTGAAGTGTTCATTCCTGAGCAAATATCAAAGACACTTCCTGAAGAGTGTCTAGAATACTGTGGGATTCCTGATATTTGATATAGTTAAGTCAGTTGCCCTTCCCTGTGACACAATGAAAAGAGAGCAGTGGTGCCATACAAGTCTTGTGAGTGGAGTAACGTTATAATAGTGAGGGCAGAGGGGTCACCTCTTCTCAAGAAGCACAAAGCAGTGGTTGATCTTTTGAGTAGATTACTGCTAAATGGACTTTCTAATGAAACTGTAGGTTAGTGTGTGCAGTGTGGTTCCTCTCTTCTCGGTGTCAGTTCCCTCTGGCTTTACCTTTCAGAAAAGGCTCAACAAAGAGTGAAAAGCCAAATAGTAGATTGCTGTTTTCCAGCTTTTCTCCTATTTCTCCACTGACTGAATTTACAGCCTCATCCTATTAACCGCTTTAATATACAAACACCCTTTTCCATTTTTTTTTTCTCCTCACCTGAAAGTAGCGAGTGCAGTTTCATGGTTCCATTCTGTACTTTATTTCCTTTTATTAATTTGTCTTTCATTTTCCATCCTGTGTACGTAAATGGGAAAAAAAAAAAGAAGAGATATCTATTGGAGAAAATAATGTAGGACAGCATTAATCATTCAGGTGACAAGCATACTGTAATTTTCTGTCAGGACCTTCATCTGATAGGACTTTCGGTAGAATAGGAGAAACTTCTAAGGGAAAGCAAAGATTCTTGCTTTGTTCCAAAGGCTCTGAATTTACAGTACTAAGAAAAAAAGCAAAAAAAAAAAAAAGTAACAAACAACCCAAACACCCCTGCCTCTTCTTATGCAGTCAGTAATCCTGGGATTCAGTTTAATCCTCTCATTAAATTGTCTGGCTTCTGTTTGCTCAATTTAAAGCTGTTGTTTCAAATTATGCTTTTCTGGGTTTTTGTTTTGGCCTCCAAAAATATTGCGTGCATTTGTGAGTGAGGTTTCCCACAACCCAAAATTTCTCTGTCTGGTTTGAGTAATTGTACATTGATAAAACAGTACGTTGTCTTGATTTGAGTATGTGCCAGTAGAAGGGCTATTATGATGGTACTTTTCTGGCATGATTAGGTGAAGATTGTAATATGACTTCATTTCTAATGCATGTTTGATGGTGATGCAGTCATTTTGCTGCCTCTTCAAAGGTTTTGAGGCCAGGGAGGCATTAAGATCATCCATTCACATCCCTAAATAACTGAAACAATACATTTTATCAAATGGATTTTGCATCTAGTCTTAATACTTGGCTTTAAGCAATAATGTACCTTCAAGGTAACATCGAGTTTTAAATGCAAGAGTTTATAGTAAGGCAAATCCAGACTTGTTTTTGTTTTAGGTTCTTTGGAATCAAGTTATACCTCAGTTTGCTATATTGGATAGTTATTTCTATTCACATTGTGTATCTACAGAATTCATTAACATTGTCTGTAAAATTTGCTTGCTTTGTGCTCAGCTGGATGGGGTCCAATCCAGAAGCCATGCAGCCACAGCAGCAAGTTCTCATGCTTCATCTAATTAAGTTCTTGGGCTCTGTTAACACAGCTGTACAGCTGCTGGGTCACAGCTGGCTGAAACTCATCTGTCTCCTGCTGAGCCCTGTGGTAAAATGACTGCTGTACCAATGAGATCAATTGATCATTGTCTCATGTTCTCAGATTCTGCGTTTGTTAGTCCTCAGGCACTTATGCTTCTGTTGAGCCTGGTAATCTGTGTCTGAATAATATGCTGATCGCTATGCTGTATGTAGTCTTTATTGTAGCTTTTATACATTGTAAATATTCTGCTTCATTTGATTGTTTATTCCACAGTTAATTCCGCCATTGTTTAAAGCAGTCATCTACTTTGACTGGATTTATTGCCATGTTTGAGACATTGAAGCTTGTTTGGACTTTGCATCTTAAGAAAGACTTCTTCAGATATCTTCTCATTCAGAAAATGTTAATACAGTATAATTAGGTCTCATCTCTGTCTTTTTGTCTTTAACAATGGGCAGCAATTTATTTTGGAGTTCTTTTTGGATCTTTAATTACTTCCTTTGCTTTCTTGAGCCTGAGTGTTCAGAGATCTATAACAAGAGTAAGCCTCTGGAGGATGTTGTCCATCTGTATTCATGATCAGATCAATACTGTCCATTACAGGAGGTGATCACAGATCAGATGTAACATAGCAAATACCAACCATGATAGTCCCTGCCCTGTGGATCAAGGCAGGGTTTTCCAGAGTATTTGGAAGGTCAGTTTTGCAGCTGTTCAGCATCCTTTCTCCACTATGACAAGAAGTAGCACGGAACTGCACCAGCATACGTAGAACTGAATGTATTGTGCTTTTCTGGCTTAGGGCATCTTTCTCTGAGCTTGCAGCTTACAGTTACTAGCTACAGGATCCAGCTGTTCTTATGCAACTTCCAGCTCTGAGAGACACTAGAAGGTTTTTGGCAGGTTCTCAGCGTGCAAGAAAGGAGTTTGTTTTCAAATAGTCAAATGCAGCTAAAACTAGCTTTAAGGAGGTAAGACATCTCACTGGCTAAAAATAGTGGTAATTATGCTGAAAATACCCTACCTTCAGGGATCTGGTTTTCCTTGTGAAGTCTTCTGTAAAGGATTTAGAGCTGTTAATCTTGAAAAATGTGCTTTCCATCTTCAGGGACTCAGAATGACCTTTGGTTCTCTCTAGTGCACATTGGCCTAAAAAATGAAGCCAAATGCCACAGCAGCAAATAATGTTATGTATTGTAAAGCCTAGATGCTGCATGGAAGCCATTAGGCAAAGAAGCATGATTTCATGAGCAAAGGCATCTCTGTTGGCTTTCTAGCTTTTATAGTCTCTATTGGACTAAAAGTAACAATTTTAAAGGCATTGAGACACTCAAAACTATTTCACAGATTGGTTCAGAACCTACTGTGGGATTTGGGACATTTGGCTTAGGAAGATGTTCAGTAGGTCATAGTCATCCAGACATCAATTACTTTCCGATTCTGAAAGGGCTAGAAGGAAGTTAGCCCACCTTGGATTACCAGATGTACAATGCAGTCATACTCAAGCTGAAGCAGTAAGTTTGTCTCACTGATCCACTGACTCCTGAGATTGTCTTGCATCTCTTTCTCTATATTGATGAAACGCAAACCACAAGATATGTCTGTAAGATTCATGGTAAGCCATGCTACTTTTTGTGCAAGTTTTCGCCTTCAGACTTTAGCTTTTCAGACTTAGTTGGCTGGTGAAGAGATCATTTCACAAGTCTCAAATACTACCTCATAAAACAAGTACTCCCTCAGTACTAGAAGATGAATTTTAAGTCAGTTCATTGCAAATCAAATGTCTCTGATTTAGAGACAGATGTTAGCCTGCATATTCTATGTCAGTAGTGGCTTATCTTAAGGGAGGATTCAGTTGCCAGCTGTCTTCATCCTACATCCATACAGAACTGATGGACAGGGGTAGAGCAGTTGATGTCACCTACCTGGACTTGTGTAAAGCGTTCAACACTGTCCCACATGACATCCTTGTCTCTAAATTGGACCGACATCAATTTGATGGATGGACCACTCAGTGGATAAAGAACTGGCTGGATGGCCGCACACAAAGAGTTGTGGTCAATGGCTCAATGTCCAGTTGGAGACCAGTAACGAGTGGTGTCCCTCAGGTATCAGTGTTGGGACCGATCTTGTTTAACATCTTTGTCGCTGACATGGACAGTGGGATTGAGTGCACCCTCAGCAAGTTTGCCGATGACACTAAGCTGTGTGGTTCGGTTGATACGCTGGAGGGAAGGAATGCCATCTAGAGGGACCTTGACACACTTGTGAGGTGGGCTGATGCCAACCTCATGAAGTTTAACCATGGCAAGTGCAAGGTCCTACACCTGGGTCAGAGCAATCCCAGGCTACAGGCTGGGCAGAGAAGAGATTCAGAGCAGCCCTGTGGAGAAGGACTTGGGGGTGTTGGTTGATGAGAAACTGCACATGAGCAGGCAGTGTGCGCTTGCAGCCCAGAAAGCCAACCATATCCTGGGCATCAAAAGGAGCGTGACCAGCAGGTCGAAGGACGTAATCCTGCCCCTTTACTCTGCTCTCGTTGAGACCTCAGCTGGAGTATTGTGTGCAGTTCTGGTGTCCTCGACATAAAAAGGACATGGAACTGTTGGAGCAAGTCCAGAGAAGGGCCACGAGGATGATCAGGGGACTGGAGCACCTCCCGTGTGAAGACAGGCTGAGGAAGTTGGAGCTGTTCAGCCTGGAGAAGAGAAGGTTGCATGGAGACCTCATAGCAGCCTTCCAGTATCTGAAGGGGGCCTATAGGGATGCTGGGAGGGACTTTTCATTGGAGACTGTAGTGAAAGGACAAGGGGTAACGGGTTAAAACTTAAACAGGGGAAGTTTAGATTGGATATAAGGAGGAAAGTCCTGTTAGGGTGGTGAGGCACTGGAATAGGTTGCCCAGGGAGGTTGTGAATGCTCCATCCCTGGCAGTGTTGAAGACCAGGTTGGATGAGGCCTTGGGTGATATGATTTAGCGTGAGGTGTCCCTGCCCGTGGCAGGGGGGTTGGAACTAGATGATCTAAAGGTCCTTTCCAACCCTAACCATTCTATGATTCTATGATACAGTTATAATCCATTTCGGCTACTACAGTGGGGTTGTATTATCTGTGGAGACTTCTTACGTGTAACCTTGCATGTGGGAAGCTGGGTTGTTCGTGCATCTTGAAGCCTCCATGGTTTTCTTTGTCATTGTTCCTGCTGCTTCTCTTCCTGATCATGGAAAATGAATTTCTGCAGAGGAGTATTCTGCTGCTCTTTTTATACTGTCTAGGGAACAAAACTTAAGATAGGTGCTTTAATGCCAGGATGGAGAACATATGAATATTCTGTAGGGACCATGGGTCTCTGGAAGAATTCTTGCATGTTTGGCTCTTATAATTTAGAATTACTGTGCTTCGCATTTAGTTAGTAAACTTTGACATGTCATTTAAGTAATGGCAGAAAGCATGGTAGTTGTGTTTTTGCTTAAAAGCAGTAATTTTTAGGAAGGCTCATTTCAAGAAGTGATCATGGTCTGGGGCTGATGTATCAGATAATCTTCCTATCAGAAATGCTCTTATCTTTTCTCAGAAGCTCCTGAGAATGCTGATATTAAGTATTTTATTCATTCTTGTCATTGAGAGGAAGCTGCTGATGAGTCCCATCTGCAGTCTGGTAACAATTCTGGAGTGAGCTTATGAGTTCTGTAAATAACTGCTTTTCCTTGTCTGCAGCAGCAAACAGCAAATCAGGCAACTGCAGAATAATACTGCAAAAGAATATATTGGTCTCTTTTGTCTTCAGACTGGAATGCTTGGATGTCCTCTAAATCAGTTCAGAGGAAACCTGCTAGTCAAGATTTCATTGCTGCTGTAGTAGGGAGGGAATTTCCTTTTCCCCGCGTACTAAGAGAACCATATATCATATTCGTAGTAAGACTTCATTTCACAGAACAGAAACAGGAAGCTTGAATTGAGGGTGGGGAGGATGGCAAAAAAAAACCCAAACAAAAAGAACCAGCAACCATGCTGCAGTACCATGCAGTAGATCTCTGCCATTCATTCACTCATCAGTCAGAATCTGGTTTTGTAATCAGAAGCACTGGGGAAATTTCTGTAGCTATATAAACTGCTATAACTTTGTTTGGGTCACCTCATAATGGTGTCCAGCTCCAGACTGAATGTGAAGAACGGGGACTGGCAAACAGGATTAGCCGTATAATCTCTATTATGTAATCCCTGATTTATTGTAGGCAAGATGCATCAGGTCCTTCCTGTTCAGAGACATTAGTAAATTTGGAAGCTTAATTGGTTTATGTTACTGTCCTATAATACAGCCATATTCAGGTGACCTAAATCCCACCCACATCATGCCTGATATTTATTAGCTAGTTCTAATAATGGTGGTGTTTCTTGTCCATGTTGAACAGCTTACAAGCAGTAATCAAGGTAGAATAGCAGTTACCAAGGTAGAATAGCAGTTACCAAGGTAGAATGAAAAGCACAAGTTTAAGACTAGAGTTCCTAAAACCTTGCAGTAATTTCCGATACAGTTTAAGAACTAATTGTAATTTTAAAATTACATTACTAATACATTATTTTATCATGTTGCTTAGTAATTATGATTCTAGATTTTGTAATGTTTTACAGCAATATCATCCACTATTTCACTTGGTATATTGAATTTTGTATTGTTAAAATCGGGTTTATTTTTAAAATGTGCAAAAATAATACTCTTTCTAGGCTGAAGCCAGAAACACTTGAAGATGATCTTGATAAATATGCTGCAAGTGCCATGAAAATGAAAAAAGAAAAGATTGATCTTAAAGAATTTTCAGCATACTTGGAATTTCCAGTTTCACAGACACTAGAAAGTATGTTTGCACTTTTTGATGAGGTAAGAAGCAACATCATGTTTAAAAATTCTACTACTTAAAGTAAACTTTACTTTAGCCTAATTCAGTTCCAGTTGAGTTCATAGAGGTTTGATTTGGGCTGGTGCTTTTGAGCACTTCGCCACATTATTTGCCTACTGCATTCCATTGCCAGCAAAGTAAGAGCACCTGTTATCAAGTAAATAAAGGATTCACTGAGGTAGAAGTTAAAAGAAGCATCAGCTGGACAAAACTGATTTTAAATGCAAAATATGAAGAGGAAGAAATCTTTGCCGCTGCTTGTTGCAACTGAATGCAGTGCCTATTAGCTGTTATTTTACTTAACCTTGTAAATAAATAATTTGTTCTTCTAGGGTGTCTGAAACCTGAAGGACCTAGGAACTTGGCAGATGAGCCAGTTCTTCATTCATCAGGCAGTCAGTCAGAATAGGGAAACGACTATTATCTTTATCTGGATGAGGTGCTGATTGGAGCAGGAGGTGGATATGTGCACAGGGTTCTCTCTTAGACCGAAGAACAGATGTCATGTGTTCAGGGATTAAATTAGGCTACCTTGCGTTGTGGTTCTCCATTTTTAATTTCTACCTGGTAATTCAGACGGTTTAATGTAAAAATCTTAAATATGCAAGTGAAGGGTGACAGTAGCAGCACTGTCTTCCAAAAAGATTTGAATTATCACTTCTGACTGAGACTCTGAAAAGGTTCTGCAGAGCTTTGGTGACCTAAGGTCTTGCCCTGACATATAATTCCATTTCAGTGAGGCTTCTTTGCGGTGGCATATGTAACTGTAAATGATCTTTCTGAATATTCTGCATCTTTGTTAACTGTTGGTTATTTATGAACATTCAGACAAATTGCAGTATTTTGAGGTGAGGTTTTCCTTCACAGAATGAAGAAGGCATAATTGACATTCGGGAATTTGTTATTGCTCTGTCAGTTGTCTGCAAGCCATCCAAAACTCTGGAAACAATTCAGTTGGCATTTCAGGTAAGCAGCGTTTTCAGCCTCTGTGTAGTTTACTTACCTTTAGAAGTTATTAATACTGCCATTAGACTTAAGAGAAGCTCGTTTCACATGCCCTTTTAATACTTAATTACATTTTAAAATAACAGTAATGGAAAATTAGATTAAGAGTTCATGTTCAGAGGGAATGCACTGCAAGTTTATGTAGAATTATGGAAGTCTGCAGTTTGAAGTTGCTCCCTGTGGACCTCTGGTAGAATCCTTTCTCAGCACATTGAAACGTGCTGAAAATCTGAAGTCCTTTGTATTTATTCCTCTAAACTAAAGGCCAATGAGTTGTGCTTACTACTTTTTATAATGTTTCAATCAAATTTCATTTTTCAAGTTAGTAAAATATTTAAAAACTTTTCCTACATCTTAATAGAGTTCTGGTTTTGCTTTGTTTTGTTTTGCTTTATTTTTACCCCCTTTTATCTTCTTGTTAAGATTTTCTTCCCTCTTAGGCTTAACCATGCTTCTATGTTAGTCCTGCAGTCTCTGCCCAGACTTTATGCCTCCCAAAAGTGCTCCTGATCTTGTTCTTCTGTCCTCAGTGGTTTTTCATAGCATCAGCATAGATGGTTAATGCAGGCTTTTTGGGAAAGTGACAGCAGCAATACTTTAATGCTTGCCATTCCTGTGGGTTTGTCTGACACCTTGAATTATTGTTTGTTAATTCCTTTAATATTTCTGTTTCAGCATGCAAACTGCTGCGTCCTGCATCATCTCTTCCCTTTGCCTTGAACTCTTTAGTGCCTTTAGTGTTGTTAAAACTGAAAAGTGCTAAATCTTGATGCTGTCTTCATTAGTGAATGGAATTGAGAACATTCACTTGCATGGTTCTACTTGGCAGCCTTATTTTCTGAGTAGATGTTTTCAAGGTCTTCAGCATAAGTGTATTATTCTCTTAATTATGTTTTGTTAAAGAAATGAGGCTCCCGTGAATGTTTAGTGTCCAGATCTATCATTCTTACCCTTTTGTCAATATCAAAAAAGATTGACAAAGGAGGAAGGAACAAAAATATTTAGTTCATACAGACATTTGGGAAAATCTGCCTCTAATAGCTGTTAACCTACTGCTGCTTCTGAGGGAAAAGCAGAAAGGTCTCTGTCCTTACTCCATTTGATCTATATAATGGCATAGAGAAATGCTCAGGTGCTGTTTGGTCAACTCTGTGTCTTTATATTAAAATGAACAAGACTAAAGTAAACTTGAAGGTGGCTTTTGGACAGTATTTCAGTAAGATTTAGCTGTCATCATGCATAATGTGCAATGTACTTTACCATTTTAGGGGAAAAAAAAGCTCAGATTGGACAGTTATTTTCCTTTGGAAGCACCTAAATTTAATAGAACAGTTTATAATACATAATTTTGAGCTCCCTCAAAAGTATAAAATTTACTTATAAAAGTAAAATATAAAGTTAACTGTAGAACTGCAAAGAAGTTCTATGCATGTATTAAAAAGGTGAAGCGCTCAGCAAGGGGAAGCAGATATGGCCCACTTTATCCTATTAGTGGTGAGTGGAAGGATCAAAAAAAGTATTGAGCTGAGGAAATTTTGCTCACAGTGTTCTAGAAAAAATGGAAAGAGAGGGGTTTTTTTTAATCTTGTCCCCTGTCCTGGGTTTGTGTACAGTGAGATATTCACACAGTTTATTGGGAGCCAGTGAAGGATCTAGCCAGTTCATAAATGTGCGGCTTGGTACAAGTGCTGTCCTCTGCCATGTGCAATTTCTTGAAAAGCACTTTGTCATTTGTTTTCAGTGATAAAGCGCAATGTTTTACATGTATCTCCTGACTCTCTTGGAGTTTAGGCACATAAGTCAGTGGACTAATAATTATTCATTTACACATCTGCAAGACATGTTAGTGTTAAACTGTCTTGTCTCTGAATACTGCTGAAATTCCGGTGGTTATGCATGTAAACATATGGGTTTTTTTCTGAACATAGCAAGCTTTGCTTTTTAAGAATACACAAGTGAACTAATAATCAATGCTATCTTTTACCCAGACTAATCAGAAATCCTTAGTAGGTCACTTGAATGTGAGAGTGACTAGAATTTCCAGTACCAAGCTTTAATTTTGCATAACTACTTAGTTACGTGGTGCTGTTTATAGAAGTTAGCATTCAGTTATGCAGTGATTTATCTTGTTGCCTTGATTCATAGATGTACCAGTCAGAAAATGGAACTATAACAGAAGAGGATTTAGCCTATATTCTGAAGACTGCCATGGGTGTGTCACAGATTAATGTTACGCATCTTTTTAAAGCTGTAGATGAAGAAGAAAAGGGAAAGATTACTTATGGTGAGTATTTTAGGTGGATCTGAGCTGTCGCAAAATGCCAAAGTTGTCTGAACTCATGTAGATACACAAACCAGTCAATTGTACTAAACTTTACCATTTTTAGTTGACTTGTTGACTTTAATAATGATAAAAGCACTGCAAACAAAGTAAATTTACATTGGAAAAAATTGAGTTTCCCCTTTATCAGATGTGATGCTTGCATATTTTCAGAGGTTTTCCTTACACATTAAGTCAGGCAATACCTCGATCTCTTTCAGAATGTTCTATTCTGTGACTTCTATGTATGTGAATATATGTCTTTAAGAAATCTCTCTTGGCTCTGTCCTGTTGCTTTGTCTCTTTTATCTGTTCCCCACTATTTCTGCCCTTACAGAATGTAGAGTGATATAATACTTTCTGCTCCTATAATCATTTCTCAGCCTGTTTGAAAATAAGTCACAAGTGTATGTGGGGGCAAAACGGGGCTATTAACCAGGCTGCTCAATATGTATAGCCTGTAATGCAGGTGAGACAGAGGCGAGAAAGTTGCATTTAAAAATGGTGAGATCTGGGTGAATAGATTATGCTGTGAATTAAAGTACTTGAGTGTTACTTCAGATTATTCATCATTTATGCAGTAAGGTTCTAAATTTAGTTACATCATTTAAGTATGAACTGAGTTGTTGATAGCCAACATAACACAAATCTCCAATAGAAGTGCATATGACATGCCATGTCCTAGTGGCTTTCCTTCAGGATAATCAGGATGTGTTTAATTTGTAAAAATCTTACAAATTAAGGTATGAATGCTGGTAAATCCTACATTAATAATTTCTATGTTTCAGTCATGCAATATATATGTAAATCTTCAACTACAGAAGTACTTTAATTATTGGAATGAGTATCGTGGACACTGCCCTCCCCTATTTCCTGCCTCCTTGATTCCTGCATACTACCCCTCTCCTTTTTGTACCTCTGATCTGCCATGTCCCCAGCATTTCCTGGTGCATCCTATGCTTTTGCCTTTTTCCTGCCTATCTCTGTTGCTCCTTGTCCCTGAACTCATTTGAGCAGTGACTCAACTCTTCCCCCATATTCAAAAATACCAGCACAGAATCTTAAGGTGGTAAGCCTAGCAGAATACTAATTCTGGCACGCTCCATTGTTTGAGAATAGCTAAATTTGAAATAGTGTACAGGTGAACTCAGGCTGGTTCATGTGAGTTAGCAAAGAATTTGTAATTGAATATTCACCTTTAATAGTACTTAGTTGCATTTAAGTCTGCCCTTTTCCCTACGTGATCATGGTGTGTTCTCGTCACAATAAAATCTGGACCACTGAGACACAGCAGTGGACATTGTAGTGCTTAACTCTCATTTTCACTGTTTTATTTCCTGTAGTCAAGAGTAGTCTCCTGCGAGGCTACACAAAGTATGATGGTAGTCACATAAGTTCTTTGAAACTTTGCTTGGATCTTTTTCTTATAGAAATGCTCATTGTACACTACAAGCATTGCACTGAGATTCTAACATATATGAAAGCTTAATAGGGAGAATAAATGTCTAGTTTATTGTGGTAGAGAATTAGAAGATGAAAGTAAACTTTTGGTATTGCATTTCTTCCTTCAAAATTCCTGCCATAAATAACCAGTCTCTTGCCTTTCCTAAGCATGTGACTCCACATACTCGGTTTTTTGCACTTAAATGCTGAGAAGGGAGAGGTGGAAAACTTTCAGACTACACCTTTTCTGAAGGCATTATTCAGTCAAGTTCTAAGAAATCAGAACTTTGTATCTGGTAAAAGAGTACTGACATTACTTTGGACACATATGGCAGAGGGTTCTGTTTACAAGCTCCTTCTTTCTAGTGTGTTGGAGTGTGAAGCAGGAATATTAAGTCTTCAGTCTTCCTTGTAAGAACAACAACAACAAAAAAATCCAAAGTAGCAAACCTAAGTTGCTGGACATATAGCAGAGTCCTTGAAGCCAGAGATCTCATCCCAAAGGAAAAGTCCAGGTAAACAGAATGACCAACAGCAAAATCAAGATTGTATAATTAGCCTGATAATCTTGGATTGGAATTGTTAGAAGTCTGGATTTTTGTCACATCTTTAAAAATACACTAGTTGTCAAAAGATCTGTGTATCAGTTCTCTAAAGCAGTGTGCTGTTTGCTTACTTGCTTAGATACACCTTTATTCCAGAGCTGCTGTGCTCAGTGTGACCTGGAAACAGGCATGATTTCTCAGTCTTAAAATATGCTTCTGGAGAATTTGAATAGGTTCTGTAGGTTGGCATTGCAAATTCTAGGATACTCTCCACCTGTTCTTGATAGACAAATGGTGACTGTGAAAATGTTCCGAAGTCTGCCTTACTTGATGGTAATAAGAAGAAAAGGGGGATTTGCAGTATTGTGAATACCTCTGTGGATGACTGGAGAGAGAAGGAAGAAGTGTTTGTTCTTTAAAATGCAGTACCTCTGCCTGTATTATCTACAGGATTATCCTATTAAGTTTGTGTACATTAATTACATGGCTGAGGTGGAACGAAAACTAGGAGGCTCATGAACACAGAGCTTCTGTCAGGAGCATCAAGTATTATGAGGGTATTGCAAAGGCAGGAGAAAGACCTCTTTAAGTTTGTACTGTACATATGCATACTTAATGCAAAAACACAGGAGTCTTAAAGAACTCCACTTTGGGGTCTGTCTTTCTTTTTGTATTTTTCCCTTTAGCAGGGTTAGGAAGCAAAATTACTTTTTCCCAAGTAAATGACTATGGTTATCTTTTTCTCCAGTCTCATGCTTCACAATTGTTTTAAGCTTGACTCCAAGATGAGACCTGTGATTAGAAGTAATGCTGAAATAGCTCATTCTTCCTCCATCACCTTGTCTCACATTTCTGATAAATGAGGCAAATGGGATCCAGGCACTTTTCCTTGGGCTCTGCTATGCACAGGCTTGATGAATACTCCTTAATAACCTCGGGAGTTCTTTCAGTAAGACCCAAAATGTCTACTTCCTGAGCTCTACCAGAAATGACTACTACCACTTTTGAGTATTCTAAATATAAAGGAGCACTCTACTTTCCTTTCTTGAAAAAGGTCAGATACATCACATCCTTTGCTATGGGATTACAGTTAGAAAAAAAAAGTTGAACTTGCATTAAAAATCTTTGCTGTATATATTTTCAAACATTTAAGTAGTGTTTTTTTTTTCCGTGAAGGCCTTTATCATTTACATGATCAATCAGCCTTTTGTACATAAAGGTTTTTCAACAAAGATGGTAATGCTGTTTTTCATAGCCTGAACATCTTCAGCTTTTGTTGCAGTTACAGGGTCCAATACTTTAGATGCATGCTTTTTTATTTGCAGAATTAAGTTGTTTATTTCATTTTCCCCACTTCTCCCTTTGCAACAGTTCAGAAGCAGGGCTGACCTACCAGTTGAGTGCCCCTGTGAGACAGTTGACATTCCCTCGCCCTTCGGAGTACTGAGGAAGACATGTCATCTGAAATGGAGAAGGGTCTCGGGGAGGGAAAGCTGTGGTAGTTCCCTTCTTCCACACCAGCCCAGTTGTACCAGCGAGTCACACCTCTGAAAGGGTACTTCAGCTGGCATCTGTGCTGCACTCTAGGGAACTCACGGATTGCCTGATGACAAACTCTTCACTGTGAATTTGAGTGGGCTGTGAGTGATATACTGTAGGTGACTGAGTTGGTGATAATGTTTTCCAGTATCAGTTTACATTATAAGTATAGCCACTTGTGACTTCGTATCTTGTGTTCAAATTATGCCTGTATAAACAGTCCTATGGGCAAGTTGTGACAAGGCTTCAATGTCTGATTTTTAACACAAAATTATATTTCTTGATGTTAAGGATTCCTCCCCCTGCCCCAAGAGGTGATCTTGTTCTTTTTTTGTCTTCTTTAGTATCCAACATTAAAATTGGAGGGTTTTTTTCCCCCAATGTGTCACAAATTAATGATCTTCTCACAGTAATATTCTCCAAAATACTAGGACTTTCGACATGCTGTCATCTCGAATGAGGAAGGCAGCAAGGTCAGCTGGTGTTAGGCTGAAGAGAATTATGAGTGCAAAGCATTAAAGGGCATGTTTGCAAAAGTCTGCCCAGATTTTAAGAAATGACTGCTCTTGCCGTTTGTTGTTCTTCAGCTGGAAGGCTCCTACCCTTCCCCCAGTGAACAGTGGGATGTTATGTCAGGACATGGGGTGCTCCTCATGCATTTTAATGCAAATCTGAGTCTGTTTACTCCTTCACCATACAAGCTAAGCTTTGGTCTGAAGTGTGTTAGGAGGGCTTAGATAACCTTTTGCAGCGTCTTGCCTCTGGGGATGTGGTAAACTTCTGCTGAGAAACTAAAACAGGCTGTGGGAATAGCATTATGCTAACTGCTGCTATTTTTCTCCAAAGCGATCATGTGATTATACATGTGTAACTATTCAAATTTAGCACCCTTCTGTTTCAAAGAGCTGATTCTGTGTAACAACAATTTGTATTTTTTTAGATGACTTCTACAGATTTGCTGAATTGCACCCACACTTTGCAGAAGACTATCTCTATGCTGATCAGATGGGAGCTGAGAGTGGCTTGGAGACTTCATCTCTTTCTGTTCCTAATGGTATCTGTACTGACTTCAGCCCTGATAGCACTGAAGATAGAAACAAGCCCCTGCAGAAGAAACTGAATTAACACTACAGCTGTTCCCTTCCTCTCCTGGTGAGAGGATTGTCTTTTCTTGGGATTTTCATAAGTCACTCCAGCTATACAGCAAATACCAGTTTTGTGTGTGAAAGTTCTTTAATACCGTTCTTTGATCATATGTGCTATATTTAACAACATGTTCCAGGTTATTTTGGGGAAGGTGTTTTTATTTTTTTTTCCCAAAAAGGTCTTTGAAAGGCAAAAATGTGAATGTGCTTCATTATTAATGTTCATATTTAAAAGGAAGCGGCACACTTATTTATATTCCATTGGCTAGTTTCATGTACCAGGTGTCGCAGAGACTGTGCATGTGTAAAGAAACTGTAGCTACTATGGTGTTAAGTGCACTTTGGTGATTAGTGTTTTCCCTAGTTATGGGGATGTTTATCTGGGGCCAAACTTTGCTGTCCATCTTTGCATAGTCGGTCTTGTTGATTTCAGTGGGATTATTCTCTTGAGCAAGGCAAGCATATTTTGGCCCTTTGTTTTGGTTCCAGTGAACAGTTTGGAAACAATAATGCAAAAACTTGCTAAGGATTACTTTTAATTTTTATTGTTGAATGACAAAATTGTTTCTTTTTCAGTCTCTTCCACGGTAGGATGAAAAGGAAAGGTTCCTTATCCCACACCCCAACGCTTTTCTACTGTCATCTTCCATATGCAATTAAATGTGAATGTTTTCCAAACTGACATGCCACATACTGTTGGCAAATACATGACAAAACTGTTTGTGCTTTTCTCTTCTAATCGGTTCCAGTCATGCCCACCCAGCGTTTAAATGGGAGGCATTTACACAATTGTAGTTACTCTCGATTTATCAGGAATCGCAGGTTTCTTTTGTGGCAAGCCTGTATACACAGATAACTTGGCATGGAATGCATTATGGAAGCTTTGCTGTATCAGCCCAAATTTCAAAAGGTTGCAGTTACTTCAAAGGCAAAGCCAGCAACAAGTTTTAGAACATTCTTAAGAAATGCTAGTTAAATCTCTATAGAAACCTTCATATATGTTATATGCAGTATATGAGCTTAAAATGGTTTAGAACTGGTTAAACAAAAGTAAACGACAACAAAAACTAAACCCACTTATATTAGTAATGTTTCTTATCTTTCCTTCTGTAAAGCCAGATGCCTTAATTACCAACGGAGGTCTCAGAGAAAAATTCAGATTATTATAAAACCACAGAGCTTCGCTGATTGGGAAATGTGACAAAAGCCTCAAGGAGTGGGAAGGACTCTGTCACAGAAATAACTCTTGATGGCGACTCTACTTCCAAACAAACCAAAAATACTTTCAGATCATTTCTCTGACTAATTTTGTAGGGCTGCGCTAAAATATGATGGCTTTGTGACTGGAAAACTGTTGAGATTTGAATCTTCCACGTTAGAGTCATACAGATTTGGAAGGGAGGAATTTTAGCAGAAGGAAATCTGTTTGTACCAAATGCTTTTATTACTATTATTTTTTACATAGCAGGAGCTGTTTTAAAGCTCATTAGGGTATTGGAATGTGTCCTTAGACATTCCTAACTGTATGTGGCAAGTCTCCAAACTGAAACTGGCTTTAATAGAAAGGGTATGAGGGAAAAAAACATAGGAAATTATGCATTCTCTGGGGTCTGTGGGTTCTCATTTGGAGGTGATAGTTTTTGATTTATCCAGGTAACACATGCTGAGCTGACAGGGCTGCAGCAGACTGACAGACAAAATTTGAGTTAAAACTGATCATGAGAAATAGGATAAGTGGCTTGGAAAAATAAGGCATATAAGGAACTACACTTAGGTAGGAATAGTCAACTGCACAAGCAGAGGAGGGAGTGGGTATTACTGCATAAAACATCTTGGGGCAGGGATGGTATAGAGTATGACAAACTGGGCACTGTTAGCTCATGTTAACATGTGAGAAGTGTGGTGGTATTTCTGTTTTCAAGTTGTGGTAAGGCCTCAGATGAAGTACCTGTCCATGTTGGGGCACCTGAGAGAGATGGGGAGTGGCTGGATAGATTCTGGAGGACATAAAGTACTCAAAAAAAAGAGAAATCATGAAATATTCTTTAATGAAAGGGAGAGGAGACTGATGGAAGATGCGAAAACAGTCTTCAAATATGAAAAACATTCCTATAGAGAGGATAGGAACAGCCTTTTCTCCACGTGAATAGTAGATACAGGCTATTTATTTAAAAGGCAAGTTAAGCATTAGGAAAATTTCCTTACAGTGCATCTCATTAGAATAGGGAGGATGGGTTATTCCAGGTGGGGTGAGGAGCCTTCCTTCACTGAAGGCTATAAAAACAGAACAGACAACTAAGATGGAGACACTTTATTTTGTTGAGCATACCCCAGGGTACAGGGATACATCCTGAGGTCTACTTTCTGTGATAATTCAGCATGAATTTAAACCGGTATATAAGGGAAAGCACATGAACTGTAGTCTGGGCATATTGCATCTTGCAGACTTTTAATGGCACATGGCTCAGGCTGGCTGAGGTAGTTATCTTTCAACTTTGTTATGTGAGCTTGAGAATTTGGGAATTTCAGAGTGCAGGGGATGAAAGATAGTTCCCTGAGGCGCATCTGAAAAGAAGAAAAAGTTAAGCTTAATATCCCGTGGACAACTTAAAAGCTCCAGAGGAAGAGATTCTTTGTCCTCATCTATAAAACAGCAAAGAAAGCTGGTTGAAGTTGGCTAAATAGGAGTGTGCCTAATTTGCATGTATGGTGCGTGTAACTTGGGGATCTGTCTTCTGAAAACCAAAAGGTTCATTTGGTTTCATGTTTGTTTTGGTGAGGGGGATGTTTACTAATTGTGGTGAACTTCAGAGCTGCGCTTGTTTGCAACTGAGCTGCTCAGGGTGTTTGGTTTGAAGGGTGCTGCAGGCTACAATAGCCACACTGCATGGTGAAGAGGCACTGAAAAGCACGTGTGTCAGCTGAGTTCTGTCCAGAGCTGCTGCTGAAGGCAGCCAGTCACCAGTGCATTGTTTGCTTGGTATGCAAGTACTTTTGGTGGAAGCAACCATTGAAAACCACCCAAACAAAAAAAACCTAACAGATCCACAAAGCAACACTTAGATTCTGAATGAATTGTGGTGCTTCCATAATAGGATGAACATAGGTTGAAGTCCTGGTCGGCCTTCACGAAAACATTGTTAGATCACACATAACGTCACAATTACAGTGGATGTAATTCAGGTAATTTGTAGATTTGTAGCATCTGTAGAATATAGGGCTATAATGCTAGACTGCCTTGTAGTGACAGAAAAGCCACATTTCTCTATGGTGATAAACTCAGACTTCATTGAGGGTTGAGTCCTGTAACACATTGCTTTACGGCAGCAGTGTTCAACACAACTCACCTATGAAACTCTTAACTGCCAAAATATTTTAGTAGTTCCATCTAAGTAGCCTTTTCAAGAGGCATCTGACTGTGGAGCAGCTGGGTGATGACAGGCAAGTTTCAGTGGCTTGCTGCAGTGTCAGGGTAGGTGTGAAACCTTCTTTTCCCCTTCACCAAACACTGATGTGTAAATGTTTTCAGTTGAAGTATTATGTATTTCACAAATGCATTGTTTTGTTTTAACTGGTGTTATCAACAGCCCCTAAATTTACAGGGAGGCATATGAAGAAATGACTTCACTTCTTTGCATCAATTTAACCTAATAAATGTTCCTTACACAAAATGCAGGGGTGTGAAGGCATTTGACATTTCTGATGAGCATTTTACTACTTTATGTAATACTACCATCCCTTGCCAGAAGAGCTCTTGCATCAGACTGAATTTTTACATATTGAATGAGACACCCTGCCAAAACTTTGCTATTCTGCTGTGGTTGAACAAGTATACTCTGCAGTTTGAATGTATTTAAAGTAACACAAAAAGCCACAAAATTAAAGATACCCCAAAATTATTGGGGATTTTGGTGGGTTTTTTTACATTTATATTTGTTCAAACATAACAAAACCCCACTAAAACCAAACAAACGTTTAGGAGGTACAAAGCATGTTTAACTATGCCTGTAACACAGTAAGGCAAGTGCTAGTACAGATGCCTCAGGAGTCCACTGCTGTAAGCAGGTACAGTGAAGGGCATTGCAGGCAGTTTGTAATCCTCAATGGAGAAGTTAGGTTGTGCACGTAAGTTTGTACGAATGAATCATGCTATATGTTTCAATGTATTTATTGTAGCTAGGATAATCTTACTGTGATAAAAAGCAACCAGGCTTTGCGTGATTGCTAATCCCACTTTGAAGATATAAATCCTTGGGTCGCAGAGGTTGAAAAGGAGACACGTGTGCACTGGGGCAGTTGATGGAACCTCTTTAGTGGCAAAGCTGCTGGAAGTAGATAGGTTTTATACACAGCTGTTTATTCATGCTTTTATGCATAGGTTTGTTTCACTGACTGGGTTTGTTAGCTGTCTTAGGCACTGGGCTGGTTGGAGTATTTTTTAATTCATAAAATGTAGCAAACCTTTTTCTGGAAAAAAGGGTCATTGTGCTGAATTCAACCTCATAGCTTGGTATATTTTCTAAAGCAGATGTGTTTTTATTAATTTATTAGTTCCCTTACATAGCCATCTCTTGCACTACCTGCTGTTCTTCCCACTTTTATATTATCTGCAGTAAGTGCAGCTTTTCACATTAACTGTTTTAGTCACATCCTGCTCTCTGCTCCTTCAAAAATGGTGTTATCATTAAAAAAAAAGGGGGGGAGGGCAGAGTGGGACTTAAAGAGTACAACTTGTAGAACTTGGGCAGCACATGCCATGATATCAGAAATACACTATTAAGCACAGCTTTGCATATGTTGACTGAACTAGGATGGAAAGAGAAGAAAAAATCTGATTAAAAACTGACCAAGTCAGATTTTCCTTTAGGTCGGAGTATGGGTCCTAAAACCTCCCAGAATGTTGCATTCTGCTTAATGTGAAGCCTGTGGTTTGTTCTTTTTATTTTGCAGCACTTTTGTGAGTGTTCTAGAATTAAGAAAGGACAGATAATGTTGGCCAGGAGTTTTACATCAGCAGACCTTAAGTTCAGCTCCTAGACTCGTACTGAAGCACGGAATTTCCCTGTGAACCAAGCAGTTCAGGTGGTTTGTTAGTTTTTAGGTATCTGAACTTCAGCTAATTTTGAAAAATTAAACTGCCTGATTAACTTAGCTAGATCCTTTACTAAAAAGAAGGAAGAGTAAGTCCAGCAGTTTGAAATGGAAAGTAAGAATTTGTCATTGGTGCCTTGATTAATCTGTCCAGCAAAACAGCAAGATCTGTTTCCCAGATGAGCAAAGGGATTGAGGCTGTCATTCAGGTAATCTTGCAGTCCTGGCTAGGCAATAATAAAGCCAGCTGCTCTTCAGTCAGTGGTTGATTTCCTGAAGGTACTGCAGCATTGGGTATCCAAGTAATGTCTGGGTCACTGGCAGCACAGCCACTGAGGTTTCATTGGATCTTCCTGCCTTTTTCCCGTGAAGACTGGAAAAAAAGATTAAAACTGTGACAGGAGCCTTGCAAGACCTGTGTAACAGTGCGGTCCTTTAGCATCACCTCAAAGGAAGAAACACAGTCATTCCGTGTTACAGCTAAGGCAGTTAACTGAGTGTACACGTTAGTCACCAACAAGCTGTGATCAAAGCATTCGTAAATTATATGATATTGAGGTAAAACTACCAAGAGAATTCAGGAGCAAACAGGTTGTCCATTAGACTTGCCTGGACTTGAATCTGAGTACTTCCTGCATCTCATAGTGAATCAAGCTAAGATAGTTCCTTGCTCTAGGAAACTTTTCCGGTTTATTTCAAGATAATTGCTTTGACTTTTACAAGTGGAGGAGTGATTTGTTTTGTAGAAAACAGCTTCCTTTTTTCCCCAGATTGGATGATGTGCTCTATCATGTGTAATGGGATTAAACTGAAGTGGGCGCTACCAAGAAAGCAGGGGATTTAAGAGGCTTATAAAACAGAGGGTTTATGTTTCTGTGCAACATGCTGACCTTTTTGCAGCAGTTGACACTGCCTAGATTGTCTTGCAAGTTTGTTAGGCAAATAATTTTATTAGTTGTGTGATGGCAGCGGCTGCTTATTCCATTTTCTTGAGCAAAGTGGCAGAGCAGCATGCTTCTGTGCAGGCTAACCTCAGTAAAGGTGTATTTGCAGTTTTCCGATGATCAGTCTCTGGGAATGGAAACAGTAGAGTCACCTTAGCACAGGCTGCACCTAAGTTATTCCTGTTAATTAACGTGTTTGGAGGGGTTCAGTTGTCATGTTTCTTTATTCTGAGCTACGTTGCACAGGGCCGTATGAACATTAGGGCTCATCAGAGGTTAGCTTGGGGATCTCAACAAAAGGTGCTGTATGATAATCTGTCAGTGTAGCGTTAAGTTTCAGGTTTTTCACTTTGACCAAAAATGTTAGAAGCAAGAGAAAAGTCATAATTACTTTTGTAATATTCTATTTTGGTGTTATAAATGGGATGTTATTTGAGAATGTCAGTTCTGAGCCAGAGAGTCAGCTGGAGAAAAATCAGGATGAACTAGGTCCTGAACAAGCAAGCAGAAGAGCCTGCCAAGGCTAGTACGGCAGCAGAGCTTTCACCGTGCAGCTGGCCTTTTCCCACAGTAAAGAACAATCATTTCTGCCTCTTGGGCTGGTGAACTCAGTTTTGTGTATCCACAGCTCTCACTTGTGCTGACTGTTCTTTGTAGGTGTGTTGCAGCCTGAGGGAAACTTTGCTGTCTTTTAAGTGATAATTCACAGACTTCTCTCCATAAGACATAAGCGGCATGTGAATAGTAAGTCCTTTTCTGGTAATGCCACCCAAAACTCAAGGCTACTTTGGCTTGTGCCTGCCATTAGACAAAGGACTGTTTTGTCGTTTCCCACACTTTAACCATTACATGTGTGTTCAGGTGGCAGCAGCTCTGAAAGAGTTTGAGATTCTCCTTGTTCCTGTGAACAATAAAATTAAGAAACATGGTATAATGAAACCTTAAACTGGATTGACCTCTGAGTCATATTACTTTCAGT